TTACTCTAACTTGCTTTTTTAAATCTCATCTAACATTACTCAAATAATTAATGATCTCGGTAAACATTTAAAACGTCTTAGGTACGGGAAAATGAAATACAAGAAAAATACAAACTTTAACGTTTTCACAATTGACATTGTATTAGTTCTCAAAAGTTATAACAAACAACTAGAAATTTCATTTTTCCAAGATCGTTCCTAGATCTCGCGTAATGTAGTTTCCTAAAGTAATTCAAAGGTCCATAAAGAAAATGGCTCTTTACGTCCCATAGTTTCACCATGTGATACACCTACTGAAAATTTTTAAAAATTTTTCGAAAGAATATTAAATCACATTCTTTGTTACGTTCCCACGAATAAAATATATGAACGATTGTTTTCAATGAACTAAATGAAGTTTGTTCAAATAACGTGCATGTTAAAAGTACTTTTTAAAGATGGATGTCGTCAATTTATAGAAATATTTATGTTAGTAAAGAAATCCTCGCTATAACCAAATATCTTAGTGGCCATTTACTAGACATTAATACTTTTGGCTTTGACATGTAATCTATTACACAAGTACTGGGAACATTTTAAAATAATATTTACTTTGTTTTTGACCAAGAGCTTTATAGATAGAAATATAAAGTTGTTATGGGCAACAAAATTGCTCCTCCATTCGCAACTTTATTTATATGCATTGGTTTCAAACGAAAGCTCTCATTACAATATTAAAGAAAACAAGCTTAATTGTTCAATATACTGTTGACAGTTTTGAAATATTGACTCGTAGCTTAAATGAGCTTAAGAATTATCATGGTCACCTTAATTCTACACATGAAGAAGAAAAAATACAATTTACCTTAGAACACAGTTTTTTTTTATAGTGGATGCATGGACTTTCTAGAATAGTTATCCCCAAACTTTACGAAGCCATGGAAGTCTATTACTTCATACCTTCGGTCACGGAACCCCAACCCTTAACTCACCCTCAAAGCCTAGCCTAGCTGAAATTGACTGGGTTAGTAATAATATTGTAATTTAGAATAGTAAATTGTGTGAAGGAGACTGAATATAAACTAACTCGTGATTATTAAAAATGCATTTGGTCCCTGACGGGTTAAGACTGAATAATAGAAAAACAAAAACAACAACAAAAAAAAACAAAAACGCCAGTACCTGTTGTCTTTGTGGGAAACGCGTGATGACTCTTCGTGAAATATGCTTTGAAAACTACTGTTCTAGATTCTGCCATCGGTATTTTTAAGGAACAGTTAACATCACAACTATTTGTTAAACCTTCACACGGCGGAATAATTTTGAAGTATCACTTGGCCCATCTTGCCAAAGTTAAACAAGATATTGCCATTGGTCAAATGAAAAGGGCTAATAGTTTAGCGTTTGAGAGAAACAAAGCTGGACAAGGATGGTTGTGTATTATGAAGAGGCTAAGAAACAATAACTACCCAGCTAAAGAAATGAATAAAGATATTAAAGAAGCGGCTTCAGAACATTAAAAAACAATTAATAGAGTTTTGAAATTCCTTTTATATCTAAAGTTGTGTCTAACCAGACAAGAAGAAGAAACCCGTAAATCTAGACTCGACATCCGTCTCACTCATTTCTACAGACTTACGTTAAAGGATATGCTAGTACGTTCTAACTTGACACACTTAACTTGCTTTAAACCTACCTCTTGTTTTGGATGTAAATGTGGAGTAAATAATGTTGTTTTATCAACTGACGTACAAACTATATCCCACCAAATGCATTTACACAGAGGGAACTAGACGACCAGTTAAAGAGCAATTGCGTGAATGCCAAAGGGGATATTAAAAATAAGTATTATGATACATCAATGGGGCTCCATTTTCAGAGTTTTCACAGAACCAGTGACATAGACACTGACGTCCCTCAGTTAACCTGTAAGATTATGCATAAAACGACAGATGATGTTGACAGAAAAAAATTAGAAGCTTTTATAATTAAACAGAAGCATCCATCTATAAACAACAGATCTAGCTGGAAGTTTGTTAATCTATGCAATTAAAACTAATGTGTATCAGTCAGTCCATGCGTGTATGCGTGCTCGCTCACCTGGAAACCCAATATACCTATTGGATAATCATACAGTGGTACTTTGACGTTTATATGAGTGCAAAAGTGAACGGCATTTATAACATTAACTTTAAAAACAATTACTTCAGTAACATAAACAAACATGCAAGGAAACATTAAGTTAATTCGTTACATTTCAATACACATTCTAACAGGCGCCTGAAAATCAACTATTAGGCTTAAAGTTTATATAAGCTTCGTACGCGAAGCACTAGTTTATCCGTTAATATAATATACAGCAATTAACCTTAATAGCCACTGACTCTACAGCTAACACATTGTGCAAAATAAAATAATTACAGGTTTCAGACTATATACAAGTGGGATTTGGACACACATATACAAAAAAAAACAAAAAAAAACAAATGCACACACATAACAACGGATAATTGTTACGCTTCTTGATACCATAATCTGACAAATTTACTATATTATATCTATTATACCTTTCCAATTACACAGATAAACAGTTCGGCGGCCATATTGACCTAGTTTATTTTGACGAGTAAACAAACCAGCAAGTGGCTTTTTTTTGTGTGTGAAGATACTTAAAATGCTGAATACCCATTTGTGTGCCTTCAAATCACTTTATTATGTTAAATTATTCGAAAATTTTTGTAACTATAAATTAAATTTATGGAATCACTATGATAACAGAGCATTGAAGCCAATAATTACTAGTTACACTTTATTGTCATCCAGTAATAATGGGCCTATTAGTCTTACATCAGTTGTAGGAAAAGTTTTGGAAAGTCTGATAAGAGATGCTTTGCAAAGTCATTTAACAAAATTTAGAATTTTATTGGATAGTCAATATGGTTTCACTAAGGAAAAATCTTGCCTTACAAATCTTTTGACATTCTTTGATTCCTATTTGTTCTACCACTAGCAACAGCACACTGCTTGAATGGCTTAAGAGACTGATCAACCATTATACCAATATCCCTTTCTTTCATGCCACTGTTAAGACTATCCCTA